TTTCCACGGCACAGCGCTTTCGTCAAATGCATTCAAACAAATGAGAAAGATGCGAGTTTGAGCTCTAGTGACCCGTTCGAACAGGAAATTTTTTGTTTTAATAAATGTGCATATCGTAAACACGTATTTAAAAGTAATTATAATTAGAAAATGCAATAATTTAAATAATATAATTATAAAGTACAATTTTTCCATAAATTTTGCTGTAATTACAATTCCAAATTACTTTAAGAAAAAAAGTACTTAAGGAGGTCCTTTCGCCACCAATGTTAAATAAAAAATATTAGATTATGACTAAAATTAATTTTTTTCTAATAGTAGATGTCCTTATTTATCTAATAGTGAACTTTTAACTATACCTTACCGTGCAAATTTTTGAGAATTTTTTTTTTTAAATGTGTGTTTGTACAGTGTCTTATGAGAAAGTAAGACTTCAACAACAATTTTCGAATTGTAGTTAATTTTACTATTATTTATTGATTAGATGGAGTAGAAAAAAACTAAAAATAAGGTTTTTGAAATATTTAGGTTTTGTTTTTTACAATAAAATATATAGGTTACCGTGGAATTTATTGAGAAATTATTATTAAAAAATCACAAAAAATTTTCAACTAGGTTACTTGAAAATTTTTTGTGATTTTTTAATATTAATTTCTCAATAAGTTGCACGGTTTACTATATATATTTTATTGTATAAAACAAAATCTAAATATTTCAAAAACCTTATTTTTAGTTTTTTTCTACTCCATCTAATCAATAAATAATAGTATAATTCGGGAATTGTTGTTGAGGACTTACTTTCTCGTGAGGCACTGTACAAATACTCACATTAAAAAAAAAAAATTCTCAAAAATTTGCAAGGTAAGGTATAGTTAAAAGTTCAGTATTAGATAAATAAGGACTTCAACTATTAGATAAAAATTAATTTTAGTCATAATCTAATAACTTTTTTTTAACATTTGAGGCGAGAGGTGTGGCGAAAGGACCTCCTTAAATACAATTACAAATTATATGAAAACAAAAGTAATTGTAATTATTAATTACTTTTTAACTAGGAATTTCCCAGCTCTGTACAGTATAATCATTAAAAAAAATAATAAATCATTACATAGCAAGACCTCCAAATACGTATTTTAGGTCTTTAAAAATGCGCGACACCGCGGATAAACCTTATTTTATCAAAATGATAAAACAATATTTAGCACGAAAACCCAGGTATAATTTTTAGATTAATTGATTCAGTACATTATAATAGTTTAAAAAAATAATGAATCATTACATAGCAAGATCTCTAAATACGTTTTTTAGGTCTTTTAAAAAGCGCGGTTCCGCGTATAAACCTTACTTTATCAAAATGACAAAAACCAATATTTAGCACGAAAATTCAGGTATAATTTTTAGGACAAATGATTCAGTACATTAGTATCATTCAAAAACACGATAAATTATTACATAGCAAGATCTCTGCGTACGTTTTTTAGGTCTTTTAAAAATGCACGGTTCCGCTGATAAACATTAATCTTTCAAAATAAGAAAAACCAACATTTAGCACGAAAATCCAAATATAATTTTTAGTATGAATGACTCCATGCATTAGTATAATTCAAAAAAATAATAAATCATTACATAGTAAGTCCTGTAAATACGTTTTTTAGGTCTTGAAAAATGTGCGATTCCGCAGATAAACCTTAGTTTATCAAAATGACAAAAACCAATATTTAGCACGAAAATTCAGGTATAATTTTTATTCTGGCCTGCGGTAAACTAAATAAATTTTTGGCGGAGTCGGGCAATCTGGGGGGTCGTTTTTATATTTGAGAGATATATCTGTTATTTACGTTTGGAAAAGAAAATTCTTCAAATAAAAGTTACTTCTAATATTATTCTCTATAATTTTTGTTGAATACAAAATTTTCCTAAAATGGCCCGTAATCGAGAAATTTGGCAAAATGTGTAAAATTCTGATTTTTAAGAAAATTATTGAACTAAAAATTGGAGGAAAAGTGAAAAATTTTAATTTTTCAGTAGCCGATCAGATGTATTAAAATTTTCATTTTAACTACAAATAAGCATTGAAGAATGAGGTATAAATAAAATGTCTATTTCTTGAACCTGTACTACGTTCTGCTACTAATGACGAACAACTACTAGACTAATTTTGTTTACAAAAATCGAATTACAAACATTCACGGTGTCATCCATGTAGTTGTCAAATTATTGTGTGAGAGTATGGTAGATGTTACAAGGATCGTTTATGGTTATACAGGGTGTTTTTAAATTCATGCGACAAAATTCAGGAGGTGATTGCTCGTATGAAATTAAGATGGGTCGCATGAATTTAGAAACACCCTGTATAATCGGTATTGACTAAATCTAAATATAAAGCTCTAAAGCGCACAAAAAGCTTTTAAAATTACATTAGGGAAGTAATTTGCATTCTTAATACCAGTTATTATCAGTTTATTGTATTTTTCTCGTTGCACCGATTATATTTGTATGGTACTTTCTCAACTCGTGCCTTAGCAACTCGGGCGTAATATAAAACTACCTGAATTCGTCGCAACTCGGGCGCCCCCCAAAATTGTGTACCTGTGAGTTCGCAACTCGGGCGTCGACGGGATATGAAATTTGACCATAGTTTATGTACCCTGATTCTGATTACAATCTGATTCAGGTAGTAATGAATTATCGAAAATTTAAGAGAAGTGAATGACATCGCAGAACAGCTTTGTTTTTAACAGATAGAGAGCATTGAAAAGTTAGTTGATGTAACAAAATTTAAGATTTTTCCATTACGGTTTATTTTAGAGAAATCATGTGTAGATTAAAAATTATAGAGATCATTATCAAAATATTCGCAATTTCTAAAATATTTCCGGAAATAATTTGGTCACTAGTGGTATTATAAGTGAAAATAATGAGAAAAATTCGAATTTTGCACTTTACCTCAAATTTCTCGAATTCGGTCCATTTTATAGAAATGTATGGAACAAAAATTATAGAAAATTACATTGTAAGTAACTTTTATTTGAAGAATGTTCTTTAAAATTCGAATTTTGCACTTTTTGTCAAAATTCTCGAATACGGACCATTTTAAGGAAATCATGAATATGATAAAATTTATAGAGAATATTATCACAAGCAACTTTTATTTGAACAATCTTCTTTTCCAAGCGTAAATTACAGATACATTTTTTAAAATAGAAAAACAACTCTCTATAAACCCACACAGCAGAAAACCACAGTAAATATTTCAAGAATGTAACACTGAAATATTTGTAATATATAAATATTACGAAACGAATTGAATATTTAATATATAAATATTATGAAACGAATTGAATATTTAATATATTTCATAAATAATAATTTGAAACCTATCAGAAATATAACATACTGATATTTCAGAAATGTATCCAACAACAGACGCAAACTTCCAATTATTTAGGGTTATCTCTAAAATAAAATTATATTACTTAAAATAAAATGACTACAACATAACCCATCTTCTTTCTCTTCTTACAAATGAGAAAATTTTCAAATCTTGTCCATTTACAACATAAAAAACATAAACCAACTTAATAATTAAATTTCATTCATTTGAAGTTTTATTTATGCCTAATAAAACAAAAGCTGTTAAACTCAAGTTTATTTTATTAAATGCTTTGGAATAAATAAAAAAAAGAAAGAAAAAAAAGAAAGAGAAAATCAATTTGAATGAATTATAGTTGAAAATATATAATTAAAAGAAAATTATATATTAAAACTAAAAATATAACATTACAGATTACGTAAGTGGGCTACATATGGAAAACTTTTTCATTATTAGTTTTATCAAAAATTTATGCATGGTCTAAAACCTAAAATACACCGATCAGATATCAATTTTTATGAGTGTGATAACAATGTAATGTAAAGACTGGCAAGCTCTTCTTGTACGGCACTCCATATATAATTTAAAGTTTAAGCCGAAAGCACCTTCTCAGGTTAAACTAAAGAGGTGACATTCATTATATTACTATAATATTGGTACTGATCCTTGAACGCCCGAGTTGCGTAGGGTATTTAATCTACCTGTAGCCATACGCCCGAAATGCGAAAAATTAAGTATTCCGCTCGAGTTGCGACGCACGAGATGCGCATAAATCATTTGTATAGTGTTTTCACAAAAGTACGCAAAACATTTTGAAGTGACACCAGTGTAAAGCAAGCGTAGTAGACGTAAATACTGATTCATTCATAAAAACGCATGCTCGCTCCTGAGATAAACATACTCGCACAAACCATCCCCACTCAAATTAGCAGCTGTCTCCTTCTTTCTAAAGCGACAGCCGATGCAATAGTTTTTTTGCGTAATAATAAACACAATCCGAATGCTTGCAATAAAAAAGATCTTAATTATGAATGAATGGATTAGTCTAGTAGTAGTAGTTTTTCGTCGTTGGTAGGCACTAAATGGATTTATTTAATTATCTTATGTGTATAATATTTGAAGTAATAAAAAATTCTGTATGATCTCGGTTCACGATACAAAAATTAGTATCGTGATATCAGTTTATCATCTGAACATTGTATTGTCTATAGTTGTTTATTATATTTTATGATAATAAAGTAAATCTCTATTGACTGTTACAATTAATTAAATCTAAGTGAAGATTGGAAAATTATAAGTCTTCATTATCAATGAATAACCCTGGTATTTATTCATGAGGAATTTTATCTAGCATTGATGTTCTAATTATTGAATTGTATATATAATAAAGTTCCAATACTAAACACTATAATATCGTATTATGTCCTTCACCGGTTTTCCAAGACCTTTGTTCTTGCATTGACTTTATTATCACGTTTAGATTTTGTCTGTAATAATATAAATTAAAAAAAATCACTATCGAGACATATAAGTGTTAAATTTGTTCCATACTAGATACAATTTTTAAAGTTAATCTTGCTTTTACATTAATTATATAGTACTGGTAATATTTTTTCTTTGATTATTAATGAAAATGAAGTATGCTGGTTTAATTTTGTTCTCGTGTACTTTGTTTATTAATGTGTATTCTCTAAAGTATTTTGTTGAACTTACAAATGTTATGCAAGATAAAGTACTCAACTATTCGGAACTATCACATCTAAATGGATTTGAATTTTGTTATCTGACTCTTTGGACTTTTGTAAGTATAAAAAATATTTTCTTAAGATGATATACTTATCCGATACTGGTCACGTTGCTAGTTGTCTAGTTGCCTATGGTGTGATGTGAATGATAAATCTCTATTACGTACAGTCCACGACTTGTGGTGTCTGGGTGTCAGACTATTGAATGTAATTAATTTAAAATGAATTTTAATGGGTATGTAGGATTACCCACTCTACCATTCATTGTTGGGTTTTAATTAGCAGTGCTGTTAATAAAGTGGCGCTGGGAAACAGCACCAACGCCTTCGCTATGGAGTGATCAGTAAAATTTGTAAATTTCTCATTGTTAAGTAAATAGTAACATGGTCATACTTTGATGTCCGATAGTTCTAATGAATTGTATGAATTTTAAAAATTATAATTTGGGTGTTGTCTGCCACTATTGAATCTAATTGAAAATTAAAACAAAAACAATTATTGGGATATTTGAATGTGTTTATTAAAATGTTCAACTGTTCATATCAATTATAATAATAACTATGCGAGTATTCGCTCTGTGCGTAGTCATGGTAGCAAAAGTTATACTAGCGCTAGCTGTGGATGATTCGTGCATTTAAGGGCGATATTTTGTAATTTTGGCATATCAAATACACGTATACATTTTACTTTTTTTTTCAAAAAAATAGGTAAAAACAATACAGTAATAACCGGAGTTGATGTGTTGAAAATTGTAAAAATACTAGCAAAGAAAACCAGTGTAAATTATAAAAATGTTCAGTAGCAAAAAGGAAATTGAATCAAAGAAATAAATGGATATGTGTACAATAAGAAGAAAAATTACCTTTATTTTTGTAATAATGACAGTAATATTGGAAATAGTAGACATCAGAAACTTGAAAGGTTTTAAATAAACAATAAATATCATTTTACGCTGTTCTTCAACATCCCTTTAATCTTAAATGTTCATCAAGAAGGCCTAACTAGATTTTTGCCTTTGATTATTGTTAGTGGCTGGAATGCAATTTTGTGATTTACTGATAGCAAACCAGTTTTAATCATTCATTCTATGTTTTCTTTCGAACAAAAATGAAAATATAAATAACAATTCTTCTGTTTATACATTTTAACTTCATGCTATTATTTAAAGGTATTTTTTTATTTTGACAGAATAGATTAATTCTTCAAAGACAACTTGTTAGACTTAGGCAACTTCTCATACATTTTCCCGTAAATACTGTTGCCTGCCTTTATTTTATTATTGATTTTTATTGAATATACTTATTTTTTTTTAGTTTAAGCGATAAAAATATATAATAATAAATTAATGTTTTACTTGTTTTACAAATCCCTATACTTTTATTAAAACTAACATATATACTTTTTAATTACGAATTCTATTAAAAATGGTGTTGTGAGTATAGGCAAAAATAGTCCATTAGTACAAAAATGAATTAGCGCTGCTGTCACGCACGGAGCGAATAGGTTCTTAATATAATATAACAAAATCACAAAGGAAGCGAATTTCAAATTTCAATTTTAATAAATTAAAACAAATTAATTTAGGTGATATTAAAACTAAATGGGGAGATATTAAACAAATTGTGGTATTATTAACGGTATAAATCATACTATAAATCAATGTAACTCCTCGAAATAAAAAAAAATAAGAAAATTTAAAATAATCACATCCGATGAGCTGGAAAAATGCCTAACAAGGGAAGCTCAGATGATATAAATATAACTTTTAAAAAAATGATACAGTAATTTATATGCCTCTATTAAATCTGATAAATTCGTCAATAGAAATTAATGTATTTTCAGATGATTAACTTCAACAATAGAACCAATTCCAAAAATTAACAACTTTAAGAAGGCTTTTGATCTAAGACCACTAAACTTGTTATCTTCAATTTAGAAAATCTTCGAAAAAGTAATGTGTAATCAACTAATTTGATAAACATTGTTTGGGCAAAACATTGTTTGGAAACAGCTATTCAGTGTGTCATAAATGATTGGAAAACCAATTAAGATAAAAAACTTGTTACTGTAACGCTTTTCTTAGACCTACAGGGAGCTTTTGAAACTGTTAATAGAGATGTACTAATTGGGAAATTAGAAAGTTTTGGATTTGTAGAAGAACGTTGCAATGGGTGTACAGTTATTTAGACAACGGTTAACAAAAACTGAGAATAAATAACATGTTCTCAAATGAAATAGAAAATTGTTTTGGTGTACTTCAGGGAGGCGTGTTAGGTCCTTTACTCTTTTTACTTTTTATTGATGATGTAAAACAAATAGTCAATGATTGCTCTATCCACCTTACTTGTAGATGATGTATTGATTTATTTTTCTTGTAATTATTATTTTTTTGTCTTAAAGCATTACTGAAACTATATTGATTGGTTAAATATTATATACATATGCAACTTATTACTTATTAAGAATATTTGAATCGGTCATTTGAGAAACAGCACATGTCAGGTGTAGATCATTTATCAAAAAATAAGAAAAAGTTAAAATCTCAAAACGGGGTTAAAATAGTATATTACACACCGAGGTGGGAAGAGTTTCATTCCTGTCGTGAGATTAGTTAGATCACCGAGACGCGAAGCGTCGAGGTTAGCTATGATCTCGAGACAGGAATGAAACTTCCTACCGAGGTTTGTATACTATTTTATTTACAACCATCATATTTCGATCAAAGTTAATAAATCTCTGTTTCGTTCTGAACATACCTAAAATATTACATTTAACGACAAATTACCAAGCGCGCGGTTTTCTCAGAATAATCAAGTAATTATATTGTTACTGTGATTATGGGGTAAACAACTGTCACCAATATAAATAAATGTCAGATAAAGCCGGATATTAAATTCGCGAATAATAAATATCAATAATTAGTTTGTTGTATGTTAGTTCATTGTTGTTTTTTATTGTTTGTCTTTAAATAGGTATTATAAAATTTGTCAAAAAAAGGTTTTATTTTTTTTAAATATAAAAAATATTCATCTAGAATAGATGAAATGAGGGCGGGTAGTGAGGGCGGTAAGTGGAGGTGTGTAATGTGACATTTCCCAACCTTCAATGACGTTAGTAATGACAACATTACATATATGGTTGTAAATAAAAATAGTTTTGTACACTTAACGTTTAAAACTTGCCCAATTTCGGGTATAATACAATAATTATTTAAGAAAAAAAAATAATCCGTAACAAATCATGGTTAATTAAAAATGAGTGACATGTGATGTTTCTGAAATGAACATAAAAACTTATTAAAAAGGGATATAGTTTTATTATTATATATTTTAAAATTCATCAAACTAGATTACAATATAAAAAAATATTCATTGTTTTCATTTTCAGTTGCCGGTCAATTTAATATTTCGGTATAAAAGTCATGGTTCATATCGGTAACGTCTTTCTTAAAAAAATTTCAAGTAGAACTTGTACTTAATTTGGTACTCGGATACTTTGTATTAAATAAATCGTTCATAATTTTCACGTTGTTTCATTGAGATATTTTTCTGCGCTACTATAGTAATTTTTGTAGGAAAGCTCCTGAAATGGTCCTCAATCTTACCATCTATATTTACTAGTTGTATTTCCAGAAATACACTTGCCCCTTTTGTCGTAAGGTGAGAGGTAGTCTCTAGACAGCTTTCGGTGACGTTGTCAACCAGAAAACTTTTTTTGGCGAGCTGAAAAGCAGCTCTTATATGCCCCTGAAGGATGCATCTGGGCCTATTGAGGCCTAAGTGATGTGGGGGGGCAACCCACCCTCCCTTCCTTACAGATAAAGATCGCAAACAAAAAATAGTAGCCTTTGCAGAAGTCTTACTTGCTTCCTAAAACAATCCATTAGAAAAAAAATAATAAATGTTCCTATTTAGTTCTGATAAGTTCCATAAACATACCTACCATTAATTTCGTGGTCAATTAAAATATTTATTACCAGAAGGGCCCAAGGGCGGCTACAGGACGAATTTTAGGGGGGTGGGGGGCATTGCCTTTAGATCAGCGGTTCTCAAACTTTTTTGGTGACGGAACCTATTTGAAACGCGAAATATTTGACGGAGCCCTAAACACATTTCTAAAAAAAAGTCCTCCGAGTAAAATCCTCCTTGCTGTAGCCTCTTGCTAGTTCCCTCCTCCCGTTTCTGCGAAGCCCCTACAACAAAATTCTAAAAATCATATCCTTCACTGACCTTTAAAAAAAAGTTATCATACCAAAATAATATACTTCTTCCTCTTCCTAACTTCTAAAAAAAAGGTCCTCATACGAAAATCATATGCTCCTTCATCTTCCTAACTAAAAAAAAGGTCCTCATACCAAAATCATATCCCCTTACTGCATGATTTTTTATTTTTTTGTCAAAAAAATATATGCGTTAGGAGTTAATTTTTGACATGTGCCAAATTTGGCACAAATTTCGGAAATAGAACAAAAGTAATAAGTATAAATTCAGATTTATTATTAAAAAATAGATTTTGTCTCAACAAAAGAATGAAAATCTTGCCCTATTCCGTGTGGAATTTGCTAAAACAATTGCGATCCTTATTATTTAGACATAAAAATACTGAACATTTGCCACATAATATTTGGGATTTTCCCTTACAATCTGGATATTTGCAACTCTGTTGTTCTTCACTTACTTTTGGCAAATGATTCAAGTTGTCCGTTCTTATTTCCTGGGCTGGAATCTGCGAAAAAGGATATTTATTTTTTTTTCAGATCTAGTTGAGGTTGTAAGCTGGTACTTGGTCTTCCCCTTTTTCTTTCTGAACTATAAGCTCTGGTCAAAACTTCTGCGATACCAAGTTTGAATTCTGAAAGTGGTAGATATAAATCATTATTTTTTAGGGTTCGCCTCCACAGTATCCAGCTATTGACGCCTATCATATCCAGGAAATGGAAAAATGCCCTCATGTACCACTTTTTGGATCGAATTTGGATTCGGTAGTATCCTAACATAGAATCGAGAAGATCTACTCCTCCCATATAAGCATTATATACCGGAACACATTAAGGGCG